CAACCTAGTGAACTCCAGCACGGCTCCAGGGCAGGGTCACAAGCTGTTCTGACACCAGCAGCTGACCCAGAAGTGCGTCTGACACAGGAGACATTGAATAACAGCTTCTCAAATGGCAGGAGGCTGAAAAGGTTACAAGCGCCGGCGAAGAAATCTCTCTTTGCGGCTGCAAAGGAGAGAGGACGACCCGAACAACGTGGAGAAGAAAGGTGAACACAAACATGACCCAAACGTGGAGAAGAAAGGTGAACACAAACAATCCTGCACTTTACACCTGAAGAATCCATTGTCAGCCACTTCTTGAACTGAATTAAACCGTAAACCAGGAACTTTAGCAACGGCTAAAAATAAATTTGAAATAACACCAAACACAACAGAAACTATCGATCTTCTTTGGGGCAAGGGCTGAAATGCCAGACTGTATCTTTTAGTTAATGAATATTGCAGGCTGACAAAGCCTGAAGATGCTGTTTTGATCTGTACTCTTCTGCAGAAATGGATTAAAAGAGAAATTACATTTTTCAACATCTGGTGAAAGATCAGGTTTCCAAGGAGATGGAGTCTGGGCCTTGGATAAGTAGCCTCACTGCATTTTTCCAACAAATTGAGGTAAAAAAAGGTGGGTGCAATATGTAGTTCATGCCAGTGAGTTATTCACCCCAATGTGCACCTCATTCAAGGTGAAGTTCAGTCAGATATACATCACAGGTTATCAGACAACACTCAAAGTGATTAAATACAGATAAAAACAATTTGATAATTACAGTGGAGATCTCTTCCTCACACCAAAACAACCCTCAAAACTTAAACAGGCTTTTTAAATAACTCAGTACACCAATTCTTTAGAAGAAAAGCATTCTCATTTTGCAAGTCCATCATTTCGTGTTCTGATTCAACGCCTTGAGTTCCAACTACGTAACACCTGAGTACACAAAATTCACCAGTCTGGATTGGATTTAACTAAACCTGGAACTGCTGCAGTGCAAGACTACCAGATACATACAGATACATACACATACACATCTCCCACAGGCAGAGTATGTATACCTCTGCTTTACTTTAGTCCATCATCTGAAATCTATCTTAACAACTCTTGGAGAAAGACCCAGATGGAAAATGCACTTGGAAATGCCATAAAACACCTTATTTTCATCTTCAAGCATCTCCATATCTCTCCAGTAACTTCCATGGGTTTATCAAGCAGAACTTCCAACAACTAAGTTCAAAAGTTGGTGCTGAGATCCAGTCAGTGTCATCTCAGCTACTGCACTTATCAAAATCAGTAGTTTCAGGCTGAAGTTCTCTGACTGTGATGACTGACAAAAATTAAAGTTTCAAACCATGTCTAATGTATCAAAGTAAATAGAGAAACCTGAAGTATTCTTTGAGTTCTGTCAACTTACTGAAAACCAAACAGCTCTGCAAGATTAAAAATATGTATTCCTTCAGGTTCTCCTGTCCCTCCTGCCAAAGTGTAACCACACAGGCAACTGGGTCCATGCTGAAAACAGTGTAAAATATTGAATTTGAGCTGGAAAACAGAGCTTCTGCATTCCTGTAAACTGATTAACCTGCATGTCTCCTGTTATCAGTGCCATTGAAAAATGGCACACAGGCTGCAGCCACCACAGTTGTCCTCAGCTTTGTCATCATTGCCTTGTACAGTATCAAGGAACTGTGTGCAACTTTGAGCTCTGCCAAATAAATTCAGTGTTCTTATTCCTGGTTTTCCAAAAGACTTTTTGAGAGCAGGTATTTGAAGGAAAAAAAACCCTCCCCCTACAAACATCACCTTCCTAATACATTCCAAGCAATGGTCCCCAAATACAGCAGGTCTCCTGGGAGCTCATGGTGACAGTGACATGGCAGCAGATCCTACTTCCAGCTTTGTGGAATTCCAGTTACAGTCACCTTAGTTTACTGACAGCCAAACCAAAGAGCTCTCCTCACATTCTCTGTGGAAATCCCCTCTTGCCTGGGCACTCTCCCAAGGAACTTCTTTTACAGACCCCAAGCCTACACAGCCCCTCACACCACAGCTGGTATCCAAACAGACAATGGGAACACACAGCATGGAAAGGAAGACAGGATAAAGCAGCCTATTAATCCAATAAAAAGTTGTGGTTGGAGGTTATTTTACATACAAGTAGGCATCAAAAACCATGAATGGCCATGAGAAACACAAACCCACAGAAGTCAGAAGTAGTAGAGCCTTTCCCCTTAATAAGCAACTGTGGTTTAGAATAACCAGACTGAGAGGTCTGCAGCTGCTGATGCTTCAAAGAGCTATTTACATTTGCATATTCCTAGAGGATACAAAACATACATTCTTGGGAGGGCAGAGTTTAACCTCAGCCTTCTGCAAGACCGTTTACAGAGACAGTTAGCCAGAATTACAGCTAATTAAAACAAACATCCTTTCTTTTCTCCCCTACAAAAAAAAAAAGCTGCAGCCCGTGTATTATCAGTCAATCCCATCTAAAAAGCACTTTTGATTAAAGAAAAGATATACTGAACAGGCAGGACCGGTACTTTTTTAGCTTAATAAAAAAAGAAACACAGTATTTTGAATGTTGAAGTTACAGCATTTTTTAAAAATTTCTACTTAAATACTGAATTTTGAGACAAGATTAGACTCAAAATTATCCCAGCAGACGATCGCTCCCTGCAGCTGACCCTTTCTACCTCGCACACCGAGAAAGCACTTTAAAATTCCTGCGAGCATATTTGCTTCCATGGCAAGGAAACACACCCACTTGTTCCTTCACCGTTATTTTCCAAGTACCAAAACCTTCCCAAAACTGTTATAGCCGAGGCACTGGAGTAACAGAAACCCCCGGCAATTAAAAATGCAAAGCGATTCTTCCTCCTGCCTCCCCAAGCGCAAAAATCCCGATCTCGGGAAGCCGCCTCGGCGCTCCCGGTGTGTGTTCCACGCATCCCTTCTCCCCGCGGCAGCCCAGGCGCTCAGAGGTGTCAGACGCGGCCCCAGCACCGGGAGGGCTGCCCGGGAACGGGGCGGGTTCCCCACGGAGCGAACCCCCCTCGGGCGGGACCGGCCACCGTGCCACACATCCACGGGAATTCCCAAATTCCCAAGCACCACCGTCGCTTGGGGGGCTTCACGCGGGGCCTCC